CAATAAGTATGTGTTTGAAAATGAAGGAGGGGCCAGGATTTTTTTTTTTAAATGACATGTGATCAAAGTTAGTTTCCTTCCTAATGCCTAGGTAAAGAGAAAGCAGTTTTCCATGAAATAAATGAATGAATGTATGCTCAAGATGAAATGGTCTTTAGAAAGAAAGTGTTGAGGGAGAGAAGGATCTGGATGGGAGACGGTCCATTTTGTCCAGAGAGAGGACATGAATACAAGTAACCCCCTCGCCCCGCTTCCGAGAGCCGGCGCCCCCCACACTGACGAGCCAGCGCCAGCGGGGACCGAGGCTCCGCGCCTGGTTTCGGGGCATTTTCCGGAATGTTCTAAGTCATAGAAAATGGCGTGAGCTTCAATTTCGATCGCACAGAGCTTCATCTAGAGAAATAAGAGGTCAGACTCCGTGCTGGCTTCTACGCGTAGAGCCTTTTAAAGCCGGGTGTCCCAGAGTCGGGGCCTGGGACCCCCCACCCCGGGGCAGCCGTCCGCACCCCCTGCACGTGCGCTTCACCGCGTCCACGCGGACGTCACGGGCAGGGCGGGCGCGCGGCCTCCTGCCACCACGAAGCCACGGTGCTGCGGGCGTCACAGGCAGGTGACTCCGCTGACGCGGGCCAGAACCCACGGACCGAGCCCCAGGTGCTGGCCTCGCCCGCGTGGCATGTCACCGGCCCGTGAGGTCACGTGGAGTGGGAACGGGAACCGCCCGCCTTGCCGAGGAAACAGGCTTGTCCCTGGTCGCAGAGCGGGTGGCTGCTCATCGGAGCCGGGACCACGCTGGGCGGAGGGGCGCATCCTGGAGGGCGCGGAGGGGGCGCCCAGCTCCAGGGCCGGCCTCTTTCCTGTGAAGGCCCCGAGAGGTGGGGGCGCACAGTGTCCCATGACCAGGGCGGGCATTTGCCTTCCGGAAGGACAGCGCCTGTCTCGGAAGCTCATGACGGGCCCAGCGCTGTCCCCAGCCTCGTCCCGTGCAGCGTGTCACCTCGGCCCTCCTCCACGGCTGACATGCGTGGTGAGCGAGCAGCTGGCGAGGCTTTCCGAGCTGCTGGGAAAGACGGGGTACGGCTGGGACACGTACTCAAACTGGACGTCGCCTCTGCTCAGCGGAAGGCAGGCCGGGACCTGGGACCTGAGCCCTGAGCCAGACCCGCTGGGCCGCACGGAGGCCTGCCCGGGTCCCCGCCGCCCCGTCCCCATGTCCCGTCCTCGTGGACAGGACGCGAGGGGCCACGCGTCCCGAGGCTGTGGGGACAGTGCTGGGCCGTGTGCTCTCGGGGACGGCTGCCGCGGCCCCACCTCTGTGAGGAGGCGCGTTGGGTCACGGGGGAACCCGCGCCAGCAGCAGTGGCCGAGGCCAAGACCCGGTGGCTCCTCCCCGGGCATTCGCCGTCTCAGAAGCTGAGCAGCCGCGGTTAGTACGACCTCATTTCCAGGGGAGTCTGCGACTTCAGGACAGAGGCCGAGCTCGACGCTGCCGGATGGGGGACGGGGAGCCACGTGGGAGCCGCCCCCGCCTCCCACGAGTATGACCGTGAGAGGCGCGTCGAGGTCGCCGCGGAGCGCGGGGGGCGCGGCGCCGACGAGCACACAGCGCAGCCGCGGCCCGGGCCGCCCTCTCTGCCCGTCCCCGACCGGCCAGTGAAAGGTCGCGTCTTTTAGAAGAAAATATAGCGGAAAATCTCCGTGACGTGAGGTTTGGCAAGCGTCTCGGATGTGGCCGTGAAAGCGCCGGCGTCGTGAAGACTGACGCCTGCGAGACCTCGCTGGGATCACGCGTCTGACCAGGGGCTGCAGCTCGACTCACGAACTCCTCCGACCCGCAAAACGGCCCAACTGGAAAACGAGCCGAGGACTCGAACAGGCGTTTCCCCGAAGAAAACGTCCGACCGGCCAACGCCCACACGAAAAGACTTCAGCATCGGCCGTTATCGGGGAGACGCAAGTCAAAGCCACAGCGAGGTCCCACGTCGCACCCGATGTCAGGGAAAAAACCCAGGGAGTAACCAGCGTTGCTGAGGATGCGGAGAAACGAGGGTTCTTATGCCCAGTACGGACGACCCGCAGAAAGTCGACGTGACTCATCTGTGAGGCCAAAACCCCACTTCTGGGTTCAAACTCAAAGGAACCAAAAGCAGAGCTGGAACGAGGCGTGTGCACAGCCACGTTCGCAGCAGCCGGGGTGGGGGCAGCCACGGGAGGGGCGGCCACATTAGCGAAGCGTGGTTTAGCCACGTGATGAGACAGCCCTCGGCCCCAAAAAGGGAGGGAATTCGGGCTCAGGTGACGACGAGGATGGACCACGAGGGCGTCGTGCTCCGTGGAGTAAGCCAGTCACAGAAGGACGGCCACGTGTGCCTGCACTCACGGGACGGGCCCCGAGCCGTCGAGTCACAGGCAGGCGGGCGTGGGGGTCGCACGCCCCCCACCCCGGGCCTGGAAGTGCAGCACGGGGCAGGGGGCGCCGGACGCTCTGATCGCTGAGGCGGGTGTGGGGAGCGAGACGGGGTCGTGTGGCGTGGACGGCGTGTCACTGACGTCTCACGGCTGGGCCACTCAGGCGCACGCTCCCAGCAACCCGAGCTCCAAATGCACCTGCCGGTCCCCTGGCGGGTGACACCGGGCGATTCAGGCCCCAGAGTGGATTCCCAGGCAGCAGAAGCCGCTCCCCAAATTCACCTGGGTTTTTGGATATGACAGCGGCTGTGGGGCCGGTGGCCTCGGGTGAGTGGAGCTCAGTGCCAGCGCGGGGCGACCCACACGCGAGACCTTTGGGAAGCGGCCCCATTCGTCCCTTTAAAAAATCTGTGATGAACTAGGGGAAAGCGAGACCGCGGGTAAAGGGTTGCCGGCGACAAAGGTTTGAAAAGCACAAACTTGGAAGATATTTTGGCTGCACAAACGTTTTTGCTACTTTTGAGCTAAGTCCTTCGACGAGAGACAAATATGCTACCTGCAAACCAACTCTGAGGCAAAAGGTTAATTACGAGTTAGCAACACATCTCCACTGTTTGCTGTTGAAAAAATAAATAAAAGTAGATTTTAAGGTGGACCAAAAAAAGCATCCTCAGCAAAGAAGAAACGCATCAAAGACGTTCACGGGTGGGTGGAACCCGCCCCAAGCCCCGTGCGGACGGGCGTCCGGCTGTGCTTTCGAGCTGCACTATTGTCTGCCGCCCGATAAACGGGACAGCGGACGAGGACGTCAACGGGTCCTCGCTGCTCTCCCAGAGGCCCCCATGAGGGACACGCGCCGAGGGCCCGGGCGGGCCGGGCGGGGGCTGTGGGCCAGCTGCAGCCGCTGTGAGCCTGGCCGGGCAGGCCCCGGGCTCTGCAGAGGCGTCTTTGGTCGGCGTGGAATTCAGTCCTTTTCAGAAAAGGAAATGGGAAGAAAGGGTTGGTGCCCAGGCTCAGGCCTTTGATCATTTGAGGAGCGAGGGGTCTGCAGTGGGCCTCCGGCTTCTCAGGCCAGACAAAGGCGGCCAGGCCACCGCGGCCAGGGGAGTCTGCGCCAGAACAAAGCCCCGCGCCGCCCCGTGCGGCCCAGCTCGCCGCGGGGGGCTGCTCTGCCCTCTGATCTTTCCCAGGCCCACTGCCAGCCGGTCAGGGCAGACACCACGCGCCCCCCAGGCTGGGCGGAGCAGGTCAAGGACAGACGAGGGTGGCCGAGCTCAGGAAAGGCCGGAGCCAGTTCCACCTGGCTGGGCTCGCATGGCCGGGCGCCGGCCCACACTCCCCATGGAGTCTGACGCTGCACGGTGCGGAGCCAGCAGACCCCGGGCTGGGGTGGGGGGTGGGGGACAGTGAAGTCAGCACCCCGCTCCCCCGTGTTCCTCGCCCACGCTGCACGGGATGCCGACGGGTGTCAGGGGAAGACGCTGCCTTCGGGGCCATTTTGGGGGATGCGGGGTGACAGCATCCGGAGCAGCTCCCCCACGCAGGGCCCCGGGTCTGTGTGAGCGTGCGGGGTCACCTGA